CTAATCTTATAGTATACTGTAAATTCACTAGAATTTATTCCCAGGTTCATGTGCGAGACTCCGCACTTTTTGTTGAGAAGAGGATTGCTCACAAAAGCCGCCGAAGCCGTCGCGAGAATCTACAAAGTGCGTTTTCCACTTTATATTAACTTGGCAGAAAACTCTTTAGATAAACGGTCATCAACTTGACGAGAAAGCGCTCAATGCCGTTTTTGAGCACGAGAGGAAACATCTTGAGGTTGATTGGGTTGTTTTAAGAGAGAATTTCCTGGGCTAGGCCTGGGCAGCTTTACTGTAAGGACTGGACTTGAAGCTATAAGGACTGGACTTGAAGCTGTAAGGACTGGACTTGAAGCTGTAAGGACTGGAGTTGAAGCTGTAAGGACTGGACTTGAAGCTGTAAGGACTGGAGTTGAAGCTGTAAGGACTGGACTTGAAGCTGTAAGGACTGGACTTGAAGCTGTAAGGACTGGACTTGAAGCTGTAAGGACTGGACTTGAAGCCTGTCTAGTCTAGATTCTTATTAAATTAAATAAAGATAGGAAATTGTAAAAGAAGGCTTGTTTCTCAACGATTTTTGAGCACTTTGCGTAATTAAACCGAGCAGCAAAAGGCAAAGAGCCGTGCGCCAAATGGTTTGCGTTTCTGTGAGCTTTCCTTTCTCGATCAGCTTTACTTTTTACTAAATTGAGTTTGGAGAATCTCAAAACAATCGTGAATGTCTCTCTTTAATTTTTCAACAAGTTCTTTATCCTTTTCAGCTTCTCTCTCATCAATCCTACTCATTCGCGCATCTTTTCTGCACAAAACGATTAGCTGGATACACGACTGCCATTTTCTTAAGCTTGTATGTTTTAAAAAATGATTTTGATAATGATAATGATAATGATATTAGAAATAAATCGAAATTTCTAGTTTAATGGCTTCAATGGTCAACTATTCACTTTTATTCAATATGGAGGAAATGAATGGATCGATTTATGTGAACGCTTTCTTTATGGGTTTCTTTCGCTTGGTGCTGAATCTCGTCTCAGCTCTTGTTGATTTTAAATGCGAGAAGTTGGGCAGAAAAGTTAGCAAAATGAAAACAGTGTTGATCCGTTGCATTTCTCCAAACCATTGCTTTTCTCCAGCCATTGCTTAGCCTTTATCCAATCCACAAAAGTTTCTAGATAAATCTTGTATCCGAATTGCTAGGCGCAGGACGATTCTTGTTGCCATGGCGCAGTGGAGAGCTTGCTTTTTTACAGCCCACACGATCCCCCGTAATGGCACTTAAGCACTTTTGATTTCAACTAGTTTACAGGCTGAGTAACAAGCTACAATACCAATTTGATAAGCCATAAATAAAGTTTTTCTACTAGCAGCACAGAGAATTTTCCAACCGAACACTGCAAAAAAGGCCAGAGTGAGGCTAGAAGTTCAAAAGTTCAAAACTGACTTCTAATAGGCCTATGGGTTAGAGTAAACAGTAAAACTAGGGCCTATTTTGTTTTCAGGTTAGCATTGAGTCAGGAGAATAGCTTTGGAACAATTCTGTTCACTTGGGAAAGATCTCTGAAATCCTCTTTCTAGACTGAACACAATTTCTACTGTCTTTATGCTCTGGTTACTTTTGGTGCTGCAATAGTTGCCGAATTCTTAGGTAATTTCAAAAATCAGCTTCATCAAAGTTTCCTAGGCATTTCTTCAAGCGAATCCTCTGTCCTTCGTTTCATTCTCCTTTCAACTGCCTCAATGGTTTGCCAATTATATGCAGTGGTCGGAGTGGTTTGTAATGAGGTAACAATGGATTAAAGATGACTGACAGAAGGACAGATAAAAGCTGACAAACAGACAGCCTCTTCTTTTATATCATTATTTTAATTTACATATTCACTAGAGATCAAATTGTAATAAACCTTTAGGTTTTCCCAACTCCCATCCGAAATGTAGCCTTTGCGATGACTCAATTGAGTGAAGCAGTGGCTTCAATCGCCGCTCCTCAAGTCTTCCAATTGGTTAGCTTTGAAAGACAAAGATTCTCAACTGTTAGAACTGTTAGAACTTCTCAAATCGTTTTCGGCAATCAATCTCTTAGACTTCATTCGGTCAATGGGTTCCTCATGGTGTAATGATTGTTCTCATCACTGCCGATCTTCTATTCTTCTCGAAATTTGTACCCGAAAGTCGAGGGAAACCACTGGCTGAAGATATGCCTGAAGAAGCTGAGAGATTAGGCATTTTCAGGTATCTTTTTCTCTTCAATAGGTTTTCTAAGGTTTTCTAGAGATAATACTAATCTTAGACTCAAAGAAAAACCTTAAAAGTCAAGTGAAAACTGGTTGGATTAAGGCTAGTTATTGACTTAAAATCATCTAATTTCAAGCTCTAAAATTCTAAATTTCAGAAAAGATTTCCACTTTGATATCCCCCATCATTTCCCACATCAATGGCCTTTTGAGATGAGCAAAGATCGAGAGGAGGAGAAGAAGATTTTCAAAAGGGAAAATCTAAGGGCAACTTTGTAAATCAAGGAAAGATCATCGAATAAAAGTCTTTTTTTTTCCTTTTAGCTACAGATCTTACATTTTGAAAAGTTTTCATTAAACGAGAGAAATGAATCTAAAACCATTTAGTTTTGAATCTAAAACCAGTTCAGTCATTTATTCTTCTTAACATACTTCTTAACTCCTTAACATTCTTCTTAGCATTCTTCTTAACATTCTTCTTATAACAAAGTTTTCATTAAACGAGAGAAATGAATCTAAAACCATTTAGTTTTGAATCTAAAACCAGTTCAGTCATTTATTCTTCTTAACATACTTCTTAACTCCTTAACATTCTTCTTAGCATTCTTCTTAACATTCTTCTTATAACAAAGTTTTCATTAAACGAGAGAAATGAATCTAAAGCCAGTTTTGCTAGTTTTGCAGCCATTTCAATCATTTATTCTTCTTAAATTACTTATCAAAAAGCTTAAAAAGCTTAATTAGAGTTATTAGAGTTTTCTTTTTAGAGTTATTGTTTAGAATTAGAGTTAAAATAAGTCAAAAGTCATTTAAGTTGTCATTTAAAAGTTTCAATTTATCGAGTGAACCTTTCCAAAAGTTTACATGAATCGAATTCACAGCTCAAATTCACAGCTCTCAAATTCACAGCTCTCAAATTCACAGCTCTCAAATTCACAGCTCTCAAATTCACAGCTCTCAAATTCACAGCTCTCAAATTCACAGCTCTCAAATTCACAGCTCTCAAATTCACAGCTCTCAAATTCACAGCTAAAATTCACAGCTCTCAAATTGACAGCTCAAATTCACAGCTCTCAAATTCACAGCTCTCAAATTCACAGCTCTCAAATTCACAGCTCAAATTCAGATTTTGCAGTTTTAAAACAAATTATTTGCTCCAAAAAAAGCCGAATGATTCACGGCTTTGATAAAAATCGGTGAGAGTTTATGAAATTTCTCTGCAAAATTGGGGAAAAGCCGGTGTTTCGAAACCCTTTTCCACTATAAAATCCAGTTTTTTTTGCTGAGAAAAGCGGGCATTTCGAAAGGATTTTACAAATTTCTTTGAAAATCCTTGATTTTTAGATTGAAAATACATCCAGCTTTGCTAGAAAGATGCTAAGAATATAATCTAATTAAAAATTGATCGCTGTAGCTTTTCATTATTATTATTCATTATTATTATTCATTATTATTATTCCTTTTCATTATTCCATTCACTTTAACAGTTTTAAATCTATTTACAGGCAATCATTTATTTAGCATTTATTTATTTAAAAGAGAAAAGAAATCATTTATTTAGTTAATATATTGATAATTGTTACTTTTGATTATTCCATTCTACAGAAAATAGCTTTGACGGAAAGGTACACTACTGGACAATGAAATATGAATATTTGAAAAACGATCGTCACTTTCGCGCGTCTGTAACTCCCATGTCTTTACCGTATTTCTAAATATTAATATTACCATTGTGTAGCCCTTGAAAAGAGCTTTCAGAAAATGTATAACACTAATAGTTTAAACTCAAAGACAAGGGAGTTACAGACGCGCGAAAGTGACGATCGTTTTTCAAATATTCATATTTCATTGTCCAGTACTGTACCTTTGACGGAAAGGACAGATCTATTCACTTTTCCCGTTTCCCGATTGAAATGAAAGCTACCTTTCAATAAGCTAACTTGACGGAAAGGTACCTTTGACGGGAAGGTACCTTTGTTGCAAAACTGACTCGCTCTAAAATAAATAGTCTTGTTTGGGAGCTTTTGTCGCATTCCCCATAAAGTCCGGACCTCGTCCCTTTTGATTACTATTTATTCCGGATCATGAGTAGTGAGCTTGCGGGAGGATACTTCGATTCGGAAGAAGCAGTCAAAAATTGGCTTTGGAAGTTTTTCGATTCAAAACGAAAATCCTACTACGAAAGAGGAATCCGCAAATTGCCTGTAAAATGGGCAGAAGTCGTCAATAATAATGGAAATTATTTGGAATGAATTGATCGTTTTATGTTGAATAAATTTTAGCTCAAAGTCCCAAAGGCCAAATTTTCAATTCACCAAGCCAATAATTTCATTTTCTCTTTCATCAAACTAAATCCATATAAGGAAAATCTAGTACTTATTGAAACCAAAATGTTAAACTTTATTTCGTATTCGTAATTGTTTATCCTTGACTGTCTTTTATCGTGCCTGCGGGAAGAGTTTCGCAATCGTTTCCCTGGCTTTTCTCCTTCTGCCACTTCACTCCTCCCTCTTGTGCTTTCCAAAACGAGTTCTTTCCATTTTCTTTCTTCTTCTTTTTCCTATTCTCTCTCAAGCACTTTCCTCACCTCTTACAATACAATTGTACAGTTCATCTTGATTCAGCTTCGTCTCTTTTTCGATCGATCTTTTTCCTTGACTTATGATTTCGTTTTATCCATTCTAACTTCGTTTTATCCATTCCCTGCTAACTTTTACTTGAAATTTTTATTCCAAAACTCTTTACCTTTATTTAGAATCACTTTTTACAATGGTAAATGTTGACATCGATCCACCAACTTATCAACAAGCAACAAAAGAAGTTCAACAAATAATTGAAACGGAAAACATTTACCCAGAGCTCAATGAAAAGGGAAAACAAGGTAAGTAAAGGAAATTATAGAAATACAATACTAGGAAATGTCATGCTTATATACGCAAAACACTTTTAAAAGTTGATCGACTAAGCTCAGCGTTGTTTCAAAGCTGTTTTTGACTAACCACGACAAGCTGGTAAGCTTTGACAAGCTGGTAAGCTTTGACAAGCTGGTAAGCTTTGACAAGCTGGTAAGCAAGTGTCAGGTATTTGCCTGTCCCTGCTTAAACTGGCCCTAACCTGGCAAGAAGTCCTGCTTTAGACCTGAACATTCTTTGCACAAAACTTCAAGCTTTCTTTAAATGATTAAATAATTTCTAGAAACGTAGAGAATATTTGAAACTATAATCCTTTTCAGAGTCACCAAAAAACTTCTCGAAACTCGAGCGTAAACATCTCTGCTTGGCCGGAAAACGCGAGCGCATTGAGGCGAAGCTGGCATGGAAAAAGCACAAACTCGAGCACAAATTAAACAAGATCCATGAAATGAAAACTATTGTAAGTTGCGAAAAACCAAATTCAAAACTCAACTCTTCCAGGAACCCTCAAAGAAAAGCATTCAAATCGTTGAGGATGGGAAAGTGATTCAAGAATTTGGTGGCGTTGATTCGTCGGAGAATCTCCGTCGCGCAATCTCGAAAGCAATTCATCATTTGGAAAAATGTCAAATAAAGGAAAATCGCAAAATCGAGAAATTTGAGGGAAAGCTGAAGAAGAAAATCGAGAAGATCGAGAAGAAGAGGTTAGTTCAAAAGGCATTTCAGATATCGTCTCTTCTTTTCTAAAAAGTTTCTTGAAATTAAGGTTAATGTATAGGCTTTTTTGGGAATTTGGGCCAAGCTTCGTTTTCATAAAATAACTCTGGATTAAGGGCTTTTTTCAGAGAAAAGTTAATTGACAGGCAAGCTTACAGTAGTACACTACTTAAAAATTACCGCAAGCCGTAACGTTACCGTATACCTACCATGACTCTGCCGTAACCCTACCGTAACCCTATCGTAACCCTACCATGACTCTACCGTAACCCTACCGTAGCCCCACCGTAACCCTATCGTAACCCTACCATGACCCTACCGCAACCCTACCGTAACCCCACCGTAACCCTATCGTAACCCTACCATGACTCTACCGTAACCCTACCGTAACCCTACCGTAGCCCTATCGTAACCCTACCATGACCCTACCGCAACCCTACCATGACTCTACCGTAACACTACCATGACCCTACCGAAACCCTACCGTAACCCCACCGTAACCCTATCGTAACCCTACCATGACCCTACCGCAACCCTATCGTAATCCAAGTGAACAGATTGGAGTTAGTGATCAGATCCGTCAATATTAGAATAGTCCGTTAAATCTAGATCTGATAGTCGATAGATTACTTATTTCTTTCCCCTTTTCTTCTTCCCCCTTGTCTTTCCCTTTTTCTCTTGACAGGTCAGGTCACCGGATGTCTCATGCTTAGCGCAATTGCCTGGAAAGCGGCAGTTTGAGACCGAAGTCAACGGTTGAATCCCCTCTCCAGAAATTCACTTTTTCTTCCTTCACTTCTTACCCTACCAAACTTCTTTTATGAGCATTACACTACATTAGATTACTTTAAGCTTGATACTAAACTTAGCGCTCTTTTCTTGCAATCTTTGCAATGCAATCTTGCAATGTTTTCTTAAAACTTCTAAATTATCTCTGAAAATTTAGCGGTGAAAACTCGGAGAAGCCGCCAATTCTGCTCTCTGCTTAGGCGATTCGTTCTGGATAAAATTCAAATTTTCTTTTCCTTTTTTTACTACTGTAAATAAATAAAATTTAAATGTTTTATCTTTTAGATTGCATTTTAAATTCTCGTTTTTAATTTTAATGATTTTAATGAAAGGATTTTAATCATAAAATATTCATAAAATTTATTGTTTCTTTCTCTTTTTTGATGAAAAGGCACGAAAAAAGCTGAAATTTTCATAAATAACAAATGCAAATGCACTTTTTTTTAGTTTAAATTGAATTAGAATTGAATTAAAATGAATAAAATTGAATAAAAATTGAATTAAAATGAAATAAAATGAAATAAAAATAAAACTTTCTAGAGTTGCACAGAGATTTTCGATGAGTTCAAAAAGGAAAATTGCAAAACAATAATTTCAAAATTCACAAATAATTCAACATTTTATAATGCGAAAACCCGAGATTTGCACAAAATTTTTAGATTTTTAGATTTCGAGGGGAAAAGCGAAAAAAACGCATTAGATTTCGAGGGAAAAACAAAAAACAAAAACGCAAAATCACACACCGGGTGAAGTGAAATTTGATGATTTAATGATTGAATTGAAAAAATAAACAAAGTACCGTATTTTCTTTAATAGTAGTGCACCAAAAGCTTCGCCTAAATTCCTCGAAATCTCGAGAACCGCTTATCAGAACCTATCGATGTGGGGTCGGAAAATGTAGCTGACGATGAGATCTAGTGGGGGATTTGAGTGTTGAGCTTCTGTGAAGATCTTGGAAACCGTAAAATAGTGATCAACTCGGCTCGCTTGGGTGCACTACTATTAGAGAAAATACGGTATTTGAACTCTTCTATTCTATTCTAGAGGTGAATTGAACACTTCTAGCAATTAGACAGACAAAAAACTAGACATACCATATTTTCTTTAATAGTAGTGCACCAAGAGCTTGGCCTAAATTCCTCGAAATCTCGAGAACCGCTTATCAGAACCTATCGATGTGGGGTCGGAAAATGTAGCTAATGATGAGATCTAGTGGGGGATTTGAGTGTTGAGCGTCTGGGAAAACTTTGGAAGCCGTAAATAGCCATCAGCTCGGCTCGCCGCGGTGCACTACTATTAGAGAAAATATGGTAATACAAAATTTCTTACAGAATTTTCACTAGAACAAGTGCGTTGGCGAGTTTTTTTGAGCAAATTTTTAGAAAAATACATTAATAGACAAGTTTTTAGGTTGAGAATTTATAAAATAAATATTGTTTTGATTGTTTTTGATCGTTCTGATCGTTTTGAATCGTTCTGGATCGTTTAGAATCGTTATTGATCGTTTTTGATTGTTTTTTGATCGTTTAGAATCGTTCTTGATCGTTTTTGATCGTTTTTAATCGTTTTTGATCGTTCTTTGATCGTTTTTGATCGTTTTTGAACGTTTTTGATCGTTCTTGATCGTTTTTGGTCGTTTTTAATCATTTTTTGATCGTTTAAAGTCAATAAATCAAAAAAAAATTGAAGATTTTAGAGAGAATTGAAACTTTCCCATGAATAAAACTTTCCCATGATATCATGAGAATGTTTTTAAAGTGAATTTAAAGTAAAGTTAAAGTGAAATTGATTTCATAAGTGCAACTCAACCTAAACAATTGTCGCTGTTTTTGTGGATTTTCTTTCGTGCTCTTTATAATAATCTAATAAAGCTTCCATTTTTGGGTTTTGCTGTGGAATCGGCGAATTGCTTGACGACATTGTGACGGGATTTTGTCTGAAAATGAGATTTTTTGGTGATGTTTTAAACTAAACACTAAACGACAAATTACAAGCTATAAACTACAGAAATCAGACTACAGACGAGTAGAATTGTCTTTTTGGGGGTGGGACAAATGCGACCTTTTTTTGTGCGCACCTGAACATTTGCGCACCTTTTTTTTGCTGGAAAATACCTTAGGCAAGGCCGTAGAGCTTCGAAAATATTTCCATATAAGGGAATCGTATGCGTAGATTCCGAATTTCGACAAATCAGACCTCGCTGACACGTCAAATTTGGGCTAAAAGGCAAAAACTACGCAACTTAGCGCTTTTCCGCAGTCCAGGCCTTTCAGCCCAAATTTGACGTGTCAGCGAGGTCTGATTTGTCGAAATTCGGAATCTACGCATACGATTCCCGTCTATGAAAACATTTTTGAAGCTCTACAACCTTTCCTAAGGCCTTTTCCAGCAAAAAAAAGATAGCATTTGTCCCACCCCCGTCTTTTTTCTTTTAAAGGCAATTCTTTCTTTTAAAAAAACCTATTACTAATGAAACCAACGTAAAAGCTTTCACATAAAACATAAAACATAAAATCAAATCAAATCAATCAATCATTTTTACAATCAATCATTTTTACAATCAATCATTAATCATTACTTCAAGAATAAGCCATTTATTACAATTTCTAGTCTTCTTTTCTTATGAAATAAGACTATAAACTTGAAAAGAAAAACGTTAGAGTTAAGCGTAGAAATGATAAATTCATTTGATCTTACAAGGGAATGACTAGAAGTAACTCATCGTTCTGATCGTTTTGAATCGTTTTTTGATCGTTTTTTGATCGTTTTTTCACTATCAAAAAGTCAATAAATCAAAAGAAATTCAAGATTTTAGAGGGAATGACTAGAAGTAACTGCGGTCACTTCTGGTCATTTCAAACGATTCAAATGGTTATTTCAAAAGAAATCCCAAACGATCATTGCACTTCTGGTCATTCCCATTCTTCCATTCGAAAGCTCAAAGTTGAAAAGATTGATAAAAACAGTTTGTAAAGATGGTTATTCTATGCGTTTTTATAAGCGTTTCTAGTCTAATCTTGTAGTTTATAGCGTTCATTTCTATGCATCCTTTTTTGAAAGCTGTTATCAAAGCTTTTATATCTTTTAACTGATCAATTCTAAAAGTATCGACTTAACAGTAAATGTTTATGGTTTTATGTAGAGTTTTTGTTTATTTTCACCTGATAAGACTCTGAGGTGAGTGTTGAAATGGTGGGAATTGTGGAGCTGAATGAGTGGTGGGGAAACGTTGCGGTTGAATGACACGAGTGGCGCTGAGGGGAGACGAGCAAGTGTTGTAGGGCTTTCTGGAAACATTTCTAGCTACCGACATTAGCTACAATCGTTCTACAGTCAATCTACAATCAATCAGTGATTGTACAATCAATCAATCAAGCTACAATCAATCATTGATTTCCTGTTACCAAGATACACGAATTATCAGACTTAGATTGATTTCTTATGATTATTCAAAAGCAGCAAACTCACGTCTCATAAAATAAACCCTTTGTGCCAACGGGAAAAGTGGTGATTCGTTGAGTGGATGGGGATTGATCTCTTGATGTGTTTGTATGCGCTGGGAGAAGGACACGAGATTGATGACCATCGACAAGTGGAGAACCGGATACAGGTCTAAAAAAACGCTTACTTTTAACCATCACTTTCGATCTACAAGTCTAAGGCCTCGGATGATTTTTAGAAAAATACAGGTCGATGTCCTCTAAGGTCTCGGATAACATTAAGGTGTAGACATTTCTTAAGTCTTCATTTCACAGCTGAATTTCACTAGAGAAAGCCTCGAACTTCTATTGAAGCAAAAACCAAGAGCGGGATCGAACCCTGAAGGGTCCCTGTCGGGACGACCGACTGGGAAACCGTCCCTTTAACCACTAGGCCACTGATGCCGATGGTAGGACGATTGAAAAGCGCCCTTTAACTAACCGATTCCTCAGAGCTTTCCGATCCAAGCTCGCTGTACTGAAGCCAGCTGAACAAGAGTGACTTGTTTGCATTCGAATCATTGGAGGTGATAGAGGCAATGGATTCGGAGAACCATTGTGTTGAATTATTGGCGCTTGGATTATCTAAAAAGGGTTAATTTCGAAAAAACGTTCATTATAGCTTCATTTACCCGTTGCTGTACTTTTTTCGGGGTCCAATCGGCGTTTAAAACTTGAGGATTGTTGTGTAAAGAGTGCTCGGATTTGGCACGCTGGCGAGAGATTTGTTGTTCCTGAAAGTACAATATTCATTACCGTACTCAAAGTATCTAACAAATAGTACAGTTACAGTAATCCAATTACAGTAATGACAAAGAAATTGGGTTTTTTTCCGTTGGATAACTATTGAAAATGAAAAATTGAAATTCCTAGATCTAGTCTAGATTAGTTTTTCGACTTACATGCAATGTTGGATAGTGCGATTGTCGATAGGCGCTTTGGTAGGCAGCTGACGATCGATAGCCAACATTCTCATATCTGAAATGAAGCCTTTGATCAATGTTCTAACCAATACTAAGATTTCTTATATATTCATTATTTCTAAATAATATTTAATTTATATTATTTATGTTCAAATTACCTTTCAAAACTTTAATCCCGTATTTTCTCTAACAGTAGTGCCCCAGAGCCGAGTTGATGTCTATTTACAGCTTCCAAAGTTTTCCCAGAAGCTCAACACTTAAATCCCCCACTAGATCTCATCGTCAGCTACTAATATTGACGGATCTGATTACTAACTCGAATCTGCTCACTTGGATTACGGTAGGGTTACGGTAGGGTTATGGTAGGGTTATCGTGAGGTTATGGTAGGGTTACCGACCCCACATTGATAGGTTCTGATAAGTGGTTCTCGAGATTTCGAGGAATTTAGGCGAAGCTTTGGGTGCACTACTATTAAGAGAGAATACGGTATTCGAAATCTACGCTTCAAAGCCGATCGATTGGGACTTACACTACTGGACAATGAAATATTATGGTTGAAAAAAGATCGTCACTTTCGCACGTCTGTAACTCCCTTGTCTTTACCGTATTTCTAAATATTAATATTACGATTGTGTAGCCCTTGAAAAGAGCTTTCAGAAAATGTATAACACTAATAGTTTAAACTCAAAGACAAAGGAGTTACAGACGCGCGAAAGTGACGATCGTTTTTCAAATATTCATATTTCATTGTCCAGTACTGTAACTCATTCGAAAAGCCCAACTTAAATTGGCCT